GCAAATTTTATAAGGCCATAACTGTTAAACGCTAATAGATTATTGCGTGAGTTTTAAAATTTATTGATGAATATATACTTGGTTAAAAACAGTAAAAATAATGTTTTATCAACTTGTTGCTCTCACGTTTGGGGCAGGTGTAGCTAAAATTTTAGAGCTTTTTTGCTCCAAGGCTCCAACCATTGCAATTTTTTGCAAAGCATCCTGATTTGACATAGGTATAAACATATAAATGTTTAGAGTTTGCTCCATGTCCGGAAGATAGCTCTTTCAACGACCAAATAATGCTGGATCCGCCCCTGGTGTATATATATGTGTGTGTGTGTGTGTATATATATATATATATATATATATATATATATATATATATATATATATATATATATATATATATATATATATATATATATATATATAAATATATATATATATATATATATATATATATATATATATGTATATATGTATATATATATATATATATATATATATATATATATATATATATATATATATATATATATATATATATATATATATATATATATATATATATATATATATATATGTATATATATATATATATATATATATATATATATATATATATATATATATATATATATATATATATATATATATATATATATATATATATATATATATATATAAGAGTTAACAGTTTTATCCTAATTAAGAATAATATATAATATAAAAATTGTGAAACATAGGTAATAGAATGTTAGTAATTTTATTCTTTTAAGCCTAATCTTTAATTTAAAAGTCTAATGCTCTGATTATCACTTATCTTAATTTCGCTAATTTTAACAATCTTACTTCAAAAAGAAACAATTTAATTTTTTATTTAAACTCACTGAACTTGTTATGCACGTCAAAACGTAAAAATAAAACAAAAAACTCACGATGCTTGATAGGTTTTATTAAAACACGCGATCACGTGGTCAAATGAAAGTTACTTAATTGGCTAAAATAAGGTAATTCAACTTTATTATTTCGGCAAATGCTTTTTATTGTATAAAACGTTTTACAAATACAGTTTCATTATGGCCCCAAATATTTGCATCCTCCTAAGTTGCCTATTATTTATAGGCGATAATGCAGCTTTGTCAAAAACGTCTTTATTGGATCAAATGTTGCGTTTGGATAACATGGTTGTTATGAATTTGATAATATTAAAAGGACCGATAGAGTTAACGTTAATGTACAATGGGTTAATTTATCCAATAAATTAAACAACATCTAAAAAATTTACAATTCTTAAGTTTTTTTTTTATCAGTAATTCTAAATAAAACTTATTTTTAAAAAGGTTAACAAAATTTATTTTAATTTTTTTGGATCTGGTTCAATAACGTTATGAAAACAGGACAAGCCATCATCCATAATCAAGTTATAATCCATTAGATTGCAATACATATATGCTGCTTATAGTATGCAGGATATAAAGACTAACAAGGTTGCAGAACTCAGCCCCGTCAAAACTTCTCATAGTGAAGTCAAAGTTTTGATCGTCAAGTATAAGATACTTGACGATAAAAACTTTGAAGTGACTATGGGAAGTTAACACATATGCCGTGGTCAATAAAAAACAAGAGTTTTTTGGAGTAACAAAAAGTGTTTATTTGATATTTCTGTATACTGTTTAGCGAAAGAATCATAAAGTACTTTTTGAGAAATCGATAGATTTAGTTTTTTTGTCACGGATTTTATTAAACCATTTTATTATGTTGTCTGTATTATGACTCTGGTTTACAAATATGGTGTTTCTCACTATGTTATTAAAAATTTTAAGATGAATTTTACTTATTTTTCCCAGTTTTAATTTAGATGGATTGACCAATTTACACATTGTGTTATTACCAAAACATTTCTGTGGTCTTTAACATTTATAAATGCTGAACTCGTGACAATGCACTTCATTTTGTCGTCAATACTTTTTGCGAATTATTTTGCTTCAATATTAACGGTATCATATTGCTTTCTATTAGATTATATGTATGTTTTTGTTACGTTTTCGTTGTATAGCTTATCGTAAAAGTTTGTAAATTTTATAAGATATAGCTACAAAGATCAAGGCTTTTTTTAGCTAAAAAAGCTTAATCTTTGCAGATAAATATTAAAATGTTTAAATTTGATTGCAGCCAAAATGCAGATTGCATTGCAAAAAATATTTTATAACAACCTAATGCCATTTCCAAAATCAATAGTATAGTGATACTAACAATATCAAGTCTTCAGGAAGACTTATTTGCAATAATTTTTTTTTTATCATTTATATAAATCGTTTTCCAAACATACTAATTCAGGTCACTGCGGTAGGTGTTTTCCTAAACTAATCTGAAAATAAAAGATAAAATAATTACAGCAGCTATTAATTGTTATTAATTTTTTATAATATATACTTAATTATTTAAATATACTTAACAATAATAACAATTTAATAGTAATAATTATTTAATAATAATAGATAGTTAATAATAA